GATTCACCCCCAAAGATATCATGTGGGTGGGGGTGCAGGTGAGTACATCAGTGGTATCTGTGCAAGGGGATTCATGAGATCCTTCCTCCAGCAATCATCAAGGCCAGGTGTCATTGAGTTGAGGTCATTTACTTGTTTCTGCCATATTGAGCTCCTAACCTCCCCCAGTTCTGTAATCTGGCATTGAGAAATATGGGCACTGGTGCAGTTTTCAGTTTCTGAAACTCCTATCTGAGCTGCTGGTCAAGGCATGATGGACAGGATTCATGGAAGTCAGGGAAAAATGGTGTCATGGCCATACATGCCATTGGCATGTTGATGCACATTAATTATATTTCTTACACTGGTAATATCTTACATAAGCACAGTCATTTTGGCACATTGTTTTTCCTTCATGCACCTCAGTCTTCTCCCAATAGAAACCTGAGGTGAGGTTCCTTTATTATGAGTTACAGCTATCTTACTGAAGCTACAGTGGCTCACAAAAATTGTCCCAATGTTTGCATGTTTTTTGTTAATCCTGGTGTAGCAAGTGAACTATCATTATTGAGTCCAAGGTGTTGGTGGAAGGATCAAAGCAGCTGGTAATGGCTCTCTGATGAGCCATATTACATAATATTTGGATACAAACTGATGACAGAATATCCAAATGAAAATGAGAGCTCATTGGGACAATTTTGTAACTTTGTGATATATATGGGATGTAGTCCTCAGGAACACATAAAAAACATGGTGAGATGCTCACCAATGTTTACATAATGTATCACATGGTCTACTGAATGATTTGTCAACAAACAAACAATGCCAGACAGTGAGTTTGCACCACTAAGCCTCCTTGCTGTAACACAAGTCAAGAAATCACCATTCTGGCTCATCAGGGACATTCTCTCAGGGCAACCTCAGCAAATGCTGCTATACACTGTAGTATAATCAATAGAATATGCTATCAGCAGGATTAATCTCTTCAGAAACCTGCTGGATGTCATCTCCTGTGCTGTTTCCCCACCAATGCCCCATGCAGTCCTGGAACTAATCAGTACTGTGAGAGCTAAGAATGATGTAGAGGTCCAATCTGGCATTCATCCTATCATAAACAAACCAATCACCCATTAACTAGTGCATTTCTGTGAAGGGGGAACTGGTATGGAGGTCAGGGTGAAGCTAAACCCTCTCTCACTCCAGGTACCATGGGAGGGATATGCTGCTGAGCTATGAGGTTGCACTTTCCTGGCCTTCTATGTGGCACTGGATATTTCCTTTAGTCTTATATGACCAAATAACTCCTTCCCAGTGATCCCCAGTTCAGCTCAGTGTACAGTCTGGCCAACCCTTCCATGATACTGGGAGTGCCCAGGAGGGTTGTGCTTCACCTGAGCCTTCAGACAGGCTTTTCTTCAGCAGTGATGTAATAGTTAGTGGGTGATTGGTTTTTCCATGATAAGATGAATGCCAGATTGGACCTCTACATCATTCTTAGCTCTCACAGTACTGATTAGTTCCAGGACTGTATGGGGCATTGGTGGGGAAACAGTGCAGGAGATGACTTCCAGCAGGTTTCTGAAGAGATTAATCCCACTGTTAGCATATTCTATTGATTATACTATAGTGTATAGCAGCATTTGCTGAGGTTGCCCTGAGAGAATGTCCCTGATGAGCCAGAATGGTGATTTCTTGACTTGTGTTACAGCAAGGAGGCTTAGTGGTGCAAACTCACTGTCTGGCATTGTTTGTTTGTTGACAAATCATTCAGTAGACCATGTGATACATTATGTAAACATTGGTGAGCATCTCACCATGTTTTTTATGTGTTCCTGAGGACTACATCCCATATATATCACAAAGTTACAAAATTGTCCCAATGAGCTCTCATTTTCATTTGGATATTCTGTCATCAGTTTGTATCCAAATATTATGTAATATGGCTCATCAGAGAGCCATTACCAGCTGCTTTGATCCTTCCACCAACACCTTGGACTCAATAATGATAGTTCACTTGCTACACCAGGATTAACAAAAAACATGCAACCATTGGGACAATTTTGTGAGCCACTGTATTTAGTATCTTCTCTTATTAGGTTAGTTGTACCTCAGTCTTCTCCCAATAGAAGCCAGAGTATCTTCTCTTATTAGTCTGTCACTACTCAGAAACACCCCTTCAGAAGGTTATGAGCCCCACTCAGCTCTAACCACTGCTGTTTTAATTCCAATCACTCTCTAGTTCTACAAGGTCATGCTAAACAATGTCAAATCCAACTCCATCTATCTCAGTTGGCCCTCAGATGGGTCCCTCTACTGCTACAGTCACTACTCTGTCATCATCTAGCAAGGTTGCTGCTCCCTCAAGTCAGCTCTATGATATTCCATCACTTGCAGATGATGGAGGAAACTTTCAAATGTGGAAGTTTTGGTTATAGAAGGTTCTCAAGATTTGAGGCCTGTGGGAGGTGGTTGGTGGCTCAGCCACAAAGGCTCCTGATGCTGCCACTCACCCAGACAAGCATGTGGAGTGGATGATGAAAGATAGGGAAGCCAGTGCACAGATTACCCTGACACTCAAGGATGAGCTTCTGAGTGGTGTCATGTATGTGAAAACTGTGTTGGAGACCTGGAAGTGCCTTAGCAAATGGTATGAGGGCAATGGGAAACAGACAATTGCCTACCTCATTGGAGAACTTTTTTGTGGAACCCTTGTCAATGATAGCCCAATGGAGACTCAGCTAAATGCAATGTGACAGAAGGTGCTCATACTGAACTTGCTTGAACAGACTCTCGATGAGTCACTGGTTCCAATTGTGATGGTGGTCTCCATACCTGCTTCATACTCAGTCCTTTGAACCATTCTCATGCAACAAATGACAAGTTGACTGTGGACTCTGTAATCCTACAAGTCCTCATAGAGGAGAGGATGTGCCAGGGATCACAGGGTCACTCAGCCCTCACAGCCAGAACTGGTGTGAAGTCAAAGTCTAAAGGGAAAGGGAAGGAAAAGTCAAAGATAAAGTGCTACAACTGCAAGGAGGTTGGGCATACAAAGAACAACTGCCCAAGCCTGAAAAAGAAGGCAGATGATGAGAAGACTCCATCCTTGTTGGAGAAGAAAGAGAAGGGAGCAGACAAGGCCAATCTCACAGCAAAGGTTGCCCAGGTAGTTGAGGATCCAGCTCTTCAGCTGTTCATGGCATGTGCAAGTCAAGAAACCAGCCCCTCAGAGTGGGTGGTAGACTTGGGTGCATCAGCACATACAGTGGCTCACAAAATTGTCCCAATGTTTGCATGTTTTTCATTAATTGTGGGTTGGTGCTCTGTATCACCATCAGACTTCTCAGAAATGTCTGCAGGGTGAGAGGAAGGTGGGAAGACAGATGAGATGAGGTGAAATAAGGCAGGTGAGAAGGGCATGGATGGAGTGGGGGCATCCTCCACTGCATTGCCTCTCAAAGTTGATGGACATGCCTGGAGGAGAGCACCTGTCACAGAAGACTTAGAAGCAATCTGCATTGGAAGGCTGGTTGAGTTGACCTGATTACAAGGATCAGAACCTGGCACCACATCAGAATCAATGACTTTGCATCTAATAGCTGGTTGGTCTTGTGATCCTTGTACTGTGCCACAACATTGGATACAACATGGGGTGCCTTATTGGTCATATATTCCTCTTGAGAGTTAATGATGGAAGGACACAGAGAAAACCCAAAACATAATTGGGATGTGCCATTGTTGATGATGAGTGGGGTGTGTCCATGGTATACATTGTACAAGCCAGGTAGCATGGCAGCCAGAAGGGTCAGTGTTGGGACCTGAAAGACCTCAATGGGCTCTTGTTCTGACATCCTCTGCAGGGTGCTGCCTGTCTGGACTTGGTTTTCTGTTCACTTTCATTGACCAAACAACATTTAACAACTCTATCTGAAAGCATGAATATACCAGCATTTCTGGCCTGGAAAAAACTCATGGGACAAAACAGTTTTCAGACCTCGACCAGGATGTGACCAGGAAAACCTCCACTACCAGAGCAAAGCCACACATTGTATCTACTGGGTTGTTCCCAGAGGGTGAGGGTGTGTTCCTGTAATACACTAGGGTGGTTTGATAATCCAATTCAAACTACATCCTGGGCTGCACAGAGGGTCGGTGTAGTCCAGTCTAATATAATACTTGAGTACTTCAAAAGCTTGAATCATAGTGGGAGATATGAAACCAGTCAGCTTGGCCAGCTATGTCTTTGTGGCAATCCTCAACTATTGAGCCACCTACCTGCCATCACTGTGAGTTGGAAAGACTGCATTAGTGAATGTAGATGACAGACATCAAGACTCTCCACTGCCAAGACCAGCTGTTGGCCATCATGCCCAATTTTGGCCACTCTCGTTTGAAGATTCTGACTGCAAATGTCTCAGGTCAATCAATAATCAGTTCAGAGCATTTATTTTTCAGTGTAAAACAAAAAACCTGAAGGGGTCCTAGAGTAATGTAGATGGTAAATGCACATGTTTTTCAGCAGCACTAGAATGCAGCAAATTCTATCCCAGTGATTGCCATTATTGGACATTTTGAGGTTGTAATGTGATTGTGTTGAAGTTGTTGTTTGTTGTTTGGCCACCCCCCATGCCACCCCTTTTTTCTTAGTTGAAGGTGAGCTGGAGCCCTACAGTGAGGTTGGTGACCTGGGACACTGCTGGAAATTGGGTCCAGTGGAAACATTTCAACAAACAGTTGGTATTTGTGATACATAGTACTTGCACAAAATCATATACCTATGCACCATCTGCTAGGAGTGCTTATACTGAACCAACAAGTAACTAACACTCCCTATTATAACCAATTGGCCAAGTAGGGCCAAACCTTCCAGTGTGGTGGAACCTCTGAATGCCAACAGTAAGTGCATCAACAAGAGCCTCCAGTGGCATGCCTTCCACCAGACCAACACCTGTCACCAGCGATCTCAGCAGCTCCATAGTTTCCTGAAGCTGGTCAAGGCCAGAATATATCCCAGCCAAATATCATGCAGCAGCTGTGTAATAATGGGCAACATCTTTGAGTGCTTGCATCTGGCTGTCTAATCTTGAGATGTGCTGCCTGTTCAGACCCACCACTGTAAGGATGTCAGCAAGTACATCCAACTTCTCAACCATCAAAACACTAGCCTCCATCACCACCAGGTTGTGAACAACCTCCAAATGGGACTCAATGCTATCCAAATTGCCTTGGATCTTGACTGCATGCAAGATAAGTAGTGACAATGAATGCTGAAACTGAAACAAGATCCAATTGAATACCTGGGTGATGTGAAAATTTGAAGAAGAGCACTTGTCAGAATGCAACCTATTGCCAATAACATGACAATACACTGCTTTGATGGACAAAGGAGAGAACTGATTCCAAAGCAAGTTAAGCAAATGGTTGTTGACTGTCAACATGCTTTCCATGCTCATCAGCAAGTGAACTTCAGAGAGTAGTGGATGGGAAGAAACATACATGTCCACTGTGCCATGAACCTGTGCCAGAAGTTTCTGAAGGTTCTGAGATGCCTCCTTTGTGTCCATTGATATGGCTGCAAGTTCTTCTGCAAGCACCATGGAAGAGCTCAAGGAACTTGCTCTCACAGTGCTAGCAAGATTGCTGACCAATAGATGGGATTCTGTCAATGCTGAGACAAGCAGAGTAACCTCAGACATATCATACAACAACCCCTCCAATGCTGAAAACTATTTCTGAATGGTGGATGAGAACAGGGTTGTGGAATCACCAGCTGGCATGATGAATTGACAGAGCAAGTCAGGCAGTAAACCTAACCTGCAGGTCATGCTAGCAATGGGTTGGACCATTTTCAGAACTTGGGCAGTGATGGACAACAGGATGATGCCCAAGGCTAGGTGTCTGAGTGGAAGGAATGACAGGAAGGATGCAAATAAAAGTATTGCATGATATGTGAAATACATGGCCTGGCTGATAGAGGGGAAGTTTGCTCTGGTGTAATGCTGGGCAGAGGTGTACATTTATCTTGAAGAAGACAAAGAACCAGAGATGCCATGTTCCAGGTGTCACTAGGGAGAAACCATAAGTAATTTCAACAGGGCCATAAACTTGTACTTTATTGTGAACCTGCAGGGGGGACACCTGGCAGATCACAGAAACATGCCCTTTGGTATCATCATTGTCACAAAGCCTGAAATACATGAGGTAATTAGGTTCTACATAAATGTCAGACAAATGGAGCCTATAATCATTCCCAATACTAGGACATTTAGTCCTTCCAGACCTGGAAAAGGAGGTGAGCAAACCAAATAATGATTTGTGATTTGTTGGAGGTTGTGTGCAAGTAAGACAGCCAGAAAACAGGCCAGATAGTTGGTCGAGGATTGTTAGAGGACTGTTGTGTGGGAACCCTGTGTATGATGAAGCTATCCCAGTGATTGCCTTTATTGGACATTTTGAGGTCATAATACAATCATTTCATCTGTCATTTGTCATTTGGCCACCCCCTTCTGCTTCCTGAAACATGTCCATGTATAAAGCAAATGATGCATGGTGTCAGGGGATTCTCTGGTAGGTTATAATATATATATATAAGCAATGAATTTAGCAAGTAGGCCTTTGTGCATGGAGATAGCACACAAAGACAGCTTTGTATCCTCAGTTCATAAGAGACCTCATTCCATCAAAAGGGAGTTTCTGAATTCCCAAATGTCTGGTTATGAGACTAGGTCATTTCTCATCATGCTGAACTTCTGTGTTGCCAAGTTGGTATCAGGCTATAAGGAAGTGGTGCTCAGAAACAATAGGGGTGAAGCTTCAGCATCATGCATCACAGCAGCTTCCTACCATATACATATGTGTAATAAATGTTGCAAAACTGATTTTGCAGTGGTGGCTGGCTGGACAATTTTATGTTTGATCCTTGGATTTGTTGGACTGTATCACCTTCAATTCCAGGATGCATAAGCAAGTCCTGGTCTGTGAGGACTTTTGTAATGCTCTCCCATTCCAGACTGCTGGTCCTGAGCATGTCTGGAGGTAATGATTGGCAATGCATTTGCATGATTAAGATTTACAGTGGTTTCTCTCCATTTTCAAAATGTTTAGTTTGCATTCAATGTGGGATTGTTGGCAGCTGGGATTGTTCTTTCAGTTTTCATCAAAGCGAGACATGGTAAGGTGATTTTCACTGGTTTCTGTGGTTTATTTCCGAGATTTTCCCAAGATTTTATGTAACTCCTGGTTACAGATGTCTTTGTTGACTAAAAGCGATGACTGTATCATGGTTTCTTGGAGCAATACAGTGTTTATCCAGGGTTTCCAACAAGTTGTCAATTCTTACATAAGCAGAAAAGTTGCAGCCAGTTACTGCAAGTACCATTTCATAGGAGGAAACTCACCATGTGATGTGACCAGGTAAGTATTGGCATCGCTGTGCTATGATCGCTCTCATCTTGCATTGTCCATTTTATTTGGTATGAGTTTGTTTCTGGTTCAACTGCTCTCACTGACTGGTCTGTGTTCCAGTACTCCCTCAGGTGATGATATCGCCTTGCAAATGCAGGCTTCCAAGAAGTTAAGGGATTAGTTGTCACTGACAATGTTCTTTGAACTGAATGTAGATAAATGTTGGTTTCCTCAGTCTCTTTGTGTATTTGTTTAGGATCTACACATGTATACCTACCCCAAAAGACATATCTATTCCCAAGCAAGGTTTTAGCTGCAGCAGGCAGCCCTTCCTGAATACTCAAGTATTAGACTACAACAAGGCCATTGCCAATGCTGAGCACCTCATGTGCCAAATTTCAGATGCTCAAATTTCAGGCCTAGTGCATGGGGCATACCATGCCATGCCAGAGACAGCGATCAAACCATCACTTGTGTATCCAATGATTGACATGTTTCAACCACAATTAAAGAACAATGCAAAAACATATGCTATTGATTGGTTGATGTCAGACAGAGGGGGAATGTTGTTATGGAAGAATGTGTCATGTGTCATCTGCTAAGACTGTACTGGTATGTATTGTCCTTGACATCAAAGGGTAGCAGCAGCTGGGGGCATCGGCAGTCATGTGAGGTGTTCACCAAGGACTTGGGGACTAGGGATGGACTTCAAGTGAATAGAGGTGAGGTGAGGTAAGGCATGGGTATGGAGTATGGTGGAGGAAGAGGCACTGTCAGGACACCATAAAAGTGCTTCCAATAAACCACTGGGCAGTGTGCCAAAGATGCTGACATGTTCAGGACTTCAAGTGAATAGAGGTGAGGTGAGGTAAGGCATGGGTATGGAGTATGGTGGAGGAAGAGGCACTGTCAGGACACCATAAAAGTGCTTCCAATAAACCACTGGGCAGTGTGCCAAAGATGCTGACATGTTCAACAGCTGGGTACCAGGCCAATATCTCAGGCCAGGTTGCCGGTGCTACCCTGTCATTCCAAGACAGGGAAATTTGACAGTGCAGACTTTGCATGCAGGGAGAAGATAGGTGATACCAGAGCCACATAAAGGCATTGGCTGCAACAGCACCATCTACAGTGGCAAACCTGGATCCAGTCCACTCTGCAGACAACATAAATATGTGCTGATCACCAGAGGCTTCATTGTGCAAGAACATCTTTGGAAGCCCTACCACATGGACAGACTCTTCATCACAATATATTTGCATCATGCAATACATGGTTGACTGTACCTTGGTCCCAATTAGTGAGAAGAAGCAGACCAGGTCTGCAGAATCTGTCTGCATATGAAAGGTTCAAGAAAAGACTTTTAAAGTCTTAAGATGGGATACATCAACTGCTTCCAATAAATGGACAGTGTGGGCCACTGGTGCTTCAAGGGCAAGAGTGGTGAGACATGGGAAAAAATGATGTGGCAAGTGATTTCAAAGAATGGAATCTTGCAACACCTCGCACAGCATGAGGTGTTTGAGACAAGGCAGCTGCATTAAGATCATCATGACCACCTCAAGAGATGGCCTGGAGCTCTCTGGGAGATGGTAGATTTCAAAATGCCTGAGGTTCTGGAAATTGCAGGCATCAAGTCATCCCCACTGCATCCTGAGCCTTCAAATGTGCAGTGTATGAAGATGGGGTGTGTGGAGCTCAAAGATCTGAGCTGGCAGTTCAGTAACCTGGTCAGTTCCTTCATCCTCCAAGCTAATGAGAACAATGGTTTTGAGATGTGGTGCAGACGAGGGACAACATGTCATGCCCCTGTGATACTTTCTGGTGGCACATACAAGTGAACCTTGTGGACTTGGTGGAGGAATCTGATGGCATGGCAAAGATGGTTCGTGATCCTCTGCACATCTGATTCAAGGTTAAACCAGTATTCCAAGCCTATGTCAAATACATGGGGTGTTGAGCAATCCAGTGTGGTCACCACCCAGTCTGCACTGCAACCAGTGAAATCCATAGCATGGGCCCAGAGGCGAGGGGAATTAACAATAACCTTTTGCCAGACCCTGCACATGTGACTGCAGACCATCAAAAAGCGACTGCCATCATTTGTGTTGGCAATGTTATCAAAGATCTCCAAAAGCAACCCCACTGGAAGTTTCAAGAAGGGGGAAAGTATGTTCAAACACTCATTGAGAAGCCACACAATTGAAAGCAATGCTGCAGCATGTCCTCTCATGAAGGCAGGGTCTGAAAGCATGCACACTTCATGGTGGCTCCCTGATACCTTGTTTGTGGCAGCAACCAGCCTCTGATTCCACCAATTACAAATAGTCCTGAGAGCTTGAATATAAATGTAAATCAGACTCCAGTGTTGCAGATATGCAGTGAACACAATATGAACATAAAACCCCCAGTGCCACTAGTGAAATGAAGAATACAATCATTGCGAGCATCCAGCTACACTGGCATTGACAAATAAGTAGGGCTTCCAAAGGAAAAAGGTAGACAAACAGACCTGGTGAGTAAAATTACACTGAATATCCCATCAACACTCACTGGCCAGCCTCCCACCACCTTGAACAAAGGACTCGAAATTCCATTGCCACTGCCCTCACTGAAGGACTCAAAATGTGGAAATAAATCACAGGCTTGTGTCGAAGCCAGACACATCTTCTGGAATCAGATAAACTCTAGGGGACTAGCTTGTTAATGTTCAAAAGAAGATCACAAGTAGACCCCTACTGCTGTGACACCTTTATAGCATATTTCACTCTGCCTTATGTTTAATACAGTGATACCTTGAAGCCTTTGCCTCTAGGTTGGCAACACCTGCATGTGGCTGTTCTTCAGCCTGACTGGATGATTGTCGATTGTTGATTCAGACTACTACATGAACTTCAAAGAAGGGAACCCTGAAACCTTGCAAATGAGGATCAGTTGAGGTCCAATACTTATTATACATACCATAGCAAAGGCCCTCTGGATACCCCTTGTCACTAGGGTGTTAGGACTCCAACTGAGTAATGATCAGCAGTGATGCCAACACAGCATTGTATGCTTTTACTGACTAGTTGGACCATTCACATCGACAGGACAGAGTACAAGAGAGCATGGTCCGATAGCACATGGTCAGATGAATCTGCTCCAAGCACCCAGGGAGGTGGAGTGAAGCATACAGACACAGAATAAATATGTC